ATTTCCGCTGATACAGGGTTCCTGTGCTTCTGTGCCTCAGTTCCAGGTGGAAGGAGCATTCCACACCCAGGAACTTTCCAGCCATCCCTTCCCAAGACTCAAGCTACTAAGTGCCAGGCAGGCAGGTCATTTGAGGAAAACAGACCCATCAAGAGCTAGTCCACCTGAGTGGAAAAAACCCTGCCCTCCCACCGCACTCTCTCTCTACACACAGTAGAGGTAAAAGCCCGCTATGTGGGCAGTTCAAGGCAAGTCTCCTGTCTGTAGCTAGTCTGTAGGTAAGACTAAGAAAGGGTTCTGTATTGTTTGGAACTAGCAGCCACCTTGATACTTTAAGAAAAGCAACCACCTCTCCTAAGAGCCTTATGGAAATGTATTTATCCAATCTTTCTCTACAACAAAACCTTGGTGGGGAAGGATCTTAACTCCAACAACAACAAAAAGTCACAAATTAAGGCATATCTATCTATCTATCTATCTATCTATCTATCTATCTATCTATCTCTTTTTACTGAATATATGATCACAAAGGCATTGAAGATATAAAGCAAAATAAAGATATGAATTTATTTTGAAATATATAAATTTATAAAAGAAACAAGACACAAATAAATTTGAAAATACATTTTCAAAATAGAAGGAAAAACATCAGAAAGTTTCAACTGGTTGTTGTGAGGCAAGTGCGGTCGTGTGTGTTTTCCTGATTTCCCCTCCTCCCCCCACAGGCTGAAATTCTAAGCATGCAGTTAAGTTCTCTCATCAAAGAAGCAATACATGTTGCTTCAAAGACAAATGATTCAGCAATAACTTTTAAGATCAGTGCTCTTTTAATAGGACTTTTTAAATGAACCAACTGCATAAATCACATGCAAAGGATTTAAAGGAGAAAACACATAAAAGGCAAATCCTTTTTTGTAACATGTATGTGAACTGTAGGTGTTGTATACATGTGATTTATGAACACACATGTCCCACGAGTGTATAGATAGGCCAGGAGAGAAAGTTGAGTGCCCTGATCAATCACTCTCTGCCTTATTTCCTTGAGGCAGAGTGTGTCACTGAATCTAAACCTAAGCTGATGGTTGGAAAGGGCCAGCAATCCCGTCTTGGCTGCTGACAGCATTTAGGGTTATAGGCATTCACAGCTACTCATAGTTGTTTTGCCTAGGTGCTTGGGATTTGAATTCAGAGCCTCATGCTTATACCACAAGCACTCTAACCTGCTGAGCCATATCCCTAGCCTTCTGAGGTTAAGTCTTAATGACATCTTTTTAAAAGTTTTATAGATGTTTAAAAATAGAAAACAAAGCAAGAGAGAGGTGACAGAGGAAGGACAAGATGATGTGAAAATGCTATTGAGGGTAGGAAGTTGGTTCAGAAACAGATGAGCTCAGAGCACAAAGTCACACAAGAAGCCATGGCCTCAAGGTCCAGTGGCTTTCTCAGTGGTTCCAAGGAAGAATCGCATTGACTCCAGGAAGTAGGAGGTGTAACGACACACAGACAGCTTTTTCAAGTAAGCCATGGGCAGAGCGCACTCATAAATACTTAGGGAAAAAAAAAAAACTCGGGAAAAGTCAGGCTTTTCCATCAGGATGCCGAGGATCCAATGAGACATGACCACATCTGCAAAGTCAGAGGACATGTTCACAGTGAACTTCAGATAGAGTGGGAAAACTCCTTATGGTTAGAGACAGGGCCTCTCCTGTCATGAGTGATGGAGTGTTGCTTTTCACATACCCATATATCATCCATTCAAAGTAGCTTTGCTTCCTTACTCTAAGATGCAGTGGGAGCTAGCAACATGAATACAACACTGAGAAGATGGAAAGTCTCTCTGATTGGTGTGGCATAAATGACATTTAATACATACAAATAGGATGTCGGCTACCAAGATCTGGGACTCCCAGCTAGTGATGGGAGCCAATGAGAACCAAAGACATTTGGGGCATACATTCTAGTCTGGGTACCAGATTCAGATGAAGCAACTAATGACTGGAAAGGAAGAGAAATAGGATGTTCTTTGAATACTGGGATGAAGATGAAACACCTTGACTAAAGGGCTCTTTTCCTGCCCGAATCCTCTTTTCATACACCCACTCTGAATTTCCATACTAATTAAAACTGTGAACTCTCCCCTGTGGGAAAATGAAGGACAGATGTTTCTTCTTTAAATAAAGAGGCTGGCTGCTAGGGAATATTGACAAGATGATGTTGAAATAACTTTGAAAGAGTAAATAACACATAGCATTGACAAGACTGTAAACACACACACACACTTCTGGTCAGCACGCTATTTCTGAAACATACCAACCCTGTAAGAATTTTTGGGCTTCCAACAAAGTGAGGTTAGGGAAAAAAAACTCTTAAGAGGAAAAGTCTATATGTTTAGAGATGTTAACTGAGACATTGGTTCTAACAGTACAAACTAGAAGTTACCTGAATGTCCCATAGCAGAAACACAGGCCTATAGTGATAGCCCAGATGACGTGTTAGACATCTATTAGCATCATGGGAAGACCTGCAAAAACAAGATGATTTTTGTGGAGGAAAGGAAAAGTTTGAGAAGGGATTCAAAATCAAATGCTTGAACCAAGAGCAAAGATTTAAGAGGTAATATGGAAAGGGAACATAGTCCGTATTTAAATTTAGCAGTATTTCTAGGCTTCCTTTTTCTAAGAGCTATCTTTGCTGGTGATGCCTCATTTCATGAATTCAGCTTTTCAGATCAGCACCTTCAATGATCATATGGATCATATTTAATGACCTTAATATTCTGAAGTGATTTCAGCAGCTGACTGGGGTGTGTTAGGAAGCACAGAGTCAATGTACAGGGCACGTAGGTATTGTTATTTTAGGTTTTAGGTTTTTTTGTTGGTTTGTTTTTTACATAAACTTCTAAAAGTAGTGAGTACTGGTGGTGAGAACTGGCAGGGACTTTGAAATTTGAGACTTTCTGGACTAGCATTGACCTTGATGAAAGCAATCAGCCTTCTCTTCATTGAGGTTCCAAATAAAACTGCCCATCTCCTCATTCTAAAAGAGCGAAGCCACAAGCCGCAGGCTGTAGCCACTGCCTCAGTTTCCTTCCTATTGATAAGTGGCAGCAAGATCTTATTCAGGCATGGAAGTGGAAACCAGATACCTTTTTGTACTTAAAGAAACAGGGGCAGAGAAGAGCTTGACAGAAAATGACCACAGAGAAGCTGTCTCATTCTTCTCAAGTTGAATATATTCTGTATGGCTTCATCAGAATGTTGGACATGGAGTCTGCCCTCAGCTAACTCCAGGCTTGGAACAGACTTATTTATAACTGGAACAGAGTAGGGGAGGGAGGCTTCCGGGGTAGAACAGAAGCCATTATTGCTGGGTCAGTGGCAGGTATGAAAGCCATTTTTAAAGCTCCTGTCAGTCATTGGCTCCAGCAGGACAGCCACACCCCAGCCTTAGGTAGAAAGTTCATTTTCCCTTGAGAATGTGTAGACACTTCTGGTCTCTATCAGCCCATAAAGGTGGTATAGAGTGGAAGGCACACAGGAGTGAAAGCAGAGACCTGCCTTGTGGTCCAACTCTGTTATTCATTAGTCACAAGCTATGGAGAAGCTGCGTTCTGCCCCTCAGTTTTATCCCTTGAGCAAACAATAAAAAGATGGGTATGATTTGTCCAGACCCTTAACTAACTCAACAGATAATCACAAGTTTCATGAATTTTATACCATGGAGGGAGAAAGAGGTGCTTCGTAATATGCTCAATGCTATTTTGTATCTGAAAGGAGAAACATTAAGGGTAAGAGAGGGTCCTTGGGGTGATACCCTAAATGAAGTGGTAAGACACCCCACCTTCTCTGAAAGAGGTGACATTTGAACATAGAGCTGAAGTCAGAGAGAGACAAACCTTTATGTGAGAAAATCATTTCCATGGGAGGAGCAGCAGGTGGAAAGCACCTGAATTAGAGAGTGTGTTTGGCAGGTATGAGGGAGGGATACAAGAAGTCTAGAGGATGTTACACAGGAAAGGGAAAAGGTGCTAGAACACAGGATGGGCAAGGCATTTGAGAGAACAAAGAGGCTATGGGGGAAAATGTCTATTACTCAGTGAAATGAGAGCCATCAGCTAGCTATTGCTGTGTAACAAATAATCTGAGATTTGATGGCTTAAACAATCACAGGCATGTATTACTCCTTGTAGGTCTGTGAGTTCAGTCTGGAGTTTCTTTTCCTCTGGGTTGCCTGAGATGGCATGAGAGGCCGTGACCAGGCTGTGAGTAGCTGAAAACCAGTGTTTGACTTGACCCACTTACAGGCAGAGGCCCAGAGATCAGTGTTACCTGGCTGGCCTGAAGCTGCCATCACAGGAGGAGTGACGCATGAACATCTCTACCCTCATCTTCTTCGTGTTTAATCAAAGTCTCTGCTATGTCATAGAGGCCTCTTTTGTACCTTGCTGACCTTAAGCTTTAAGTTTCAGAAAGCAGCATTTAGGATTCTGGGGTAATGGATGCACGAAAGGTTTGGTCCTTAGGACATATGGGAATATTCACTTACTTAAAGTCATCTCCATGTCCCCCTACCTGGAGACCATGGTGTAAGTGGAGAGAGTGAGTGTTCTCAAGTGATTGACTCAGGAGCCATCCCTTGAGGACTGAAATAACTGTCTGTGAGTGACGAGGATTAACATAATTAAAATGAAATCACACAACAGTCACTTTTCTTCTTTCTTTCTCTTGCAGAAAATATGATGCTGGCATGCTTATCCCGTGAGACAGCTCGGCCCACAAAGCACAAAAACTGAACTCAAACTCAGAGAAGAATCAAGAATGGTGTTTTCCTGGCATCTACAAGAAGCGCTTTATTTTTCCTCTAGATTTCTTTTCTAAAAAACAAAACAAAACAAAAAAGACAAAACAAAAACAAAAATGAAAACAAACATAAAAACAAAACGGAACAAAAAAAACTGAGAAGAACATTCAAGCAAGTGACACACACTTCAGAACACCATAGTCAAGCATGTTCTTTTATTAAGCATAGGATGGGAGGGACCAGGGGAAGCGGAAGCTAGATGCTCACTCAGAAGGACTGAGGAGTTACGACATTCACTAAGAGGCTTGTTCTTGGAACTGTGCGTGAAGAATGAAGAGAGCGACTTCTATTTCCCACTTCAAGAATATCCCGTGTATCTGAAGGACACCTTGCTTCTTTGCTTGCCCATCTGTGTATCTATGGAATGATTTGCAAAACGTATTTGTTATAATCTCTAAGGAATTGCTTGTGTAACTTTGGCAAGGAGGACAGTGCTTTCGGGACCCACCGACTCAGTTCCCCTCTAATGGCACCATTGCATTGGTTCTGTTGGGACAAGGTACTGAGTTTCTCTCAAAGCTGCCAAACCTGTTCAGATTTTGTAGGGCAGTATGAGATGCCTTCCAGGTCTGAATTCAGCATGGGGAGATGAACATGAAAACATTTTCTTCCCTCAATGGGAGAAAGCCGGCCTCCGGTGGCAGAGGTGGCAGTGGTGGTGCTTGGGAGGGTCAAGAGGATATCAGGCTATTCTAAGGGTAATAGAGAGTCACACCTGCTTCTACAATGAGCAAAGGAACATGCTAACCATGCTTCCACTTTCAAGCAGGCCACCACCAGAAAAGCAAGCAGACCCGTGACTAGCCCTATCCTAGAAAGGGAACATTGTTCCTTGAAATTCCCTGCTTCCCATTGATGCTCAATCTTTCCCCATTGATTACAGCTGCTCTTGTTTCTTTTATTCTCATTGTTCTGTACTGGAAGGTCAGGGCACCCCAGGATGATGGGGTTGACAGTGATGAGGGTCAGAGCACGGGTGGGGATTTGCCCAACATCACGGGGCTCTGATTAGCTGGAGGGACTGCCCAGTCGCTCCTGGATGAGCCTCTCGCTGAGTTCCCACAGGGCCCGGGCTGTCTCCTCATTCTGTGCCTCCTCGGATGGCAGGCAACGGCAGCAGTTGTTGAAATACATCCCTCCAAGGCCCTCCAGCTCCGGGGCAGCTGCACAGTAGACAGTGGTAGCAGCTCCCTGTTGCTGAAAATCAGAAAAGAAAGAAAAGCAATTGTGAGTGATAAGACAATGTCATTTTGGCTACTTAGAGATCAATGAGCCTTTCTGCACTTGGACATCAGGGGCAAAGGGCTCAACTCCAAGCACAGGACTGCAAAAGCATGATGTGTGACAGCCTTGGAAAAGCAAGTCCATAAACTCCGCTTGTAAAGCTGGTGTGACTTTTTACACCTCATAGAGGAAAAGGCTTGGGAAATAAAGACGCATTTCAATGTATCATGCCAGACGCCATTTCAGCACAAAGAAAAAAGATGCTATACTCCCCAACATGCGAGAACAAAATCCATCCAAGCCTCTGACTGCTCAATGTGCAATAGAGTTTGACACCAAGAACTTTCTAGAACCTTCTGTCTAAAAGAAACCAACCACTCTTGATTATGGCCCATCAATTAGATGACTCAAGTGATGCTGGTGCCAGATCTGTCCTGAACAATTTGCCCAGGGTGCTCTTAGGGGGTAGGATGGGTTAACAACACTGTTGAGATGTTTAAACACACACACACACACACACACACACACACACACACACAGTCATGGTCTCACGAGTCTCTACACTGATTGTTTATTAATTCGTCCAGAAAATACTTTTCTAAACGTCATATCTGTTCCAATGTACAACAAACTATGGCCTCAGGTGGGAGGCACTTTCCTTCCAGCCCATTTCAAAATGCAAGTTTCTATGAACAGCACTGATCATTTCTCGTCTCCTCTGGAGTAACAGTTGGGGCTATAGCAAGGGGTGTGTTCACTGATGGGGCCCCAAGTCATCCCTACTGACAGAATATTGCCAGAGAAGCTATAAAGAGGGCAAGAGCTCACTTTGCTTTGCAAGCCATAATTAAAAATAATAGGCTTCTGTTTGCAGGGAGGTGCAGTGGGCGCTGCTCCAATTTCAAACCAGTACAATTTATCTGCTGTCCTGGGATCATTTATGTGGAGGACAGCTCTTGATGTATCAACTTGCTATCAGCTGACAGGAAGTGGGGTCAAAACAAGGACTGAAAGGTAACCACAGATGTCACCTTCAGGAAAACATTAGGATGTTTGCTTGTAAGGGAGATGGCTTTCTGTCCCTCCTCAAACTTAGCCATTTTTTTCCTGCCCCTACAGGTTTTAAATTGTGTCCATTTAGTGTGTCCATGGAAGAGCATTTTCCTAAATGACTGGATTCCGTGGAGCAAGGGTCACTTTGAGAACCAGGACTCAAGAACTTAGAACTTTAGCCAAGTTCTAAGAAGCCCACTTGGGTTTTCTTTGCTGCTGGTTTCTGTGTCAGGGTCTGTAGTCATACATGCATTGGTCAAATACAGCCATGGGGCCTGACTAGGGCAGGGGTGTGGAGGAGTGTGCGAAACAGACTCAAAGTTTGATAACACCTAGCTGCTGGAGACTACTGGACAGATCCCACCAGCCTGGGATTTGAACATGTGACCTGTGAATGGAGTTTAATTGTGACTTCCTGAAGTCCCTCAACATGCTCCACTTAGCCTGCCCCCCAAAAGAAACAGTGAATACTGTGACTTCAGTGATTTCTTTCTCAATTGATTTCCTTTTGCAAAGTTGTTATTTCTCATGACTTTTAGCAAAGCACCCAGCATGTTTATCTAAACACCTGTCAGGTGTTTATGGGATCCCTCTGCAGCGTGTAAGGAGGGAATGGGTGGCCAAAGGGCCTCTGATAGCTGAGTAGAAAACGAGGATGTCCCCTCAGCTAACTCAAGCCACATAGTAGCTTGCTTGCCGTCAGCTCTCTGCAGAGTCCAGGGGGAGATGGAGCTTTGGATAACCTTGGGCTATCTCTCTTGGATTTTCATTTTATTTTGTAGGTGACAAATACAGCCAGGAATGATCAGGTGACTTGCCACAGACTTCTAAGTGGTGGCTGAGAGAATCGAGTCAGCTCACCTCCAAATCCATCCCTCCTCTTCCACCTGCCCTAGTTGATTCTCATGTCAGAGAGTGGTTCTAATTTTACAACAGGCTGGCCTCGCGCAGCGTTGCCAGTCCTGAGACAAGACCAAGGGAGGCCTCTCAGGAAAGTGAAAACTAGAGTTCTTCCAAAGCTAATGTAGGATATTGCCACTGTGTCCTTCTGAGGTGATGTGGTCTGTGTGCTTGCTCTGTTGAAATGGTACTTTTGTAACGAATTTCTGAAGTCACCCTGATCCAGAACCTAGTTAACATGGGGATCAGGAGGAGGTGTATTTTCCCTCATCGGAATGTGCAAGTGACCAAAGTTGGGGTGTTTTCAAGGAAATGTACATTTGTTGACTACGATGAAAGACACACAGTTTTAAAAGCCCAGTGTGCCACACATGCTTGCTTCCATTCCTTGCCATTGGTCTGGGGGTAGTTTACAACCCAAATTCATGCCAGTGCCCGTAGTAAAAGAACACAGCACAGGAGACAAAGGCCACCTTCGCTACCCCACAAAGACCAACTGTATGCTTTCGAAGCCTCCCTGCCAGAGGCGTGCTTGCTGCCACTGGCTCTTGCTTTATCTTCTTTTCAGGCCAGACAATTAAATGCTGACAATATCTTGTTGGTCCCATGCCCGCTACCTCGTGGGCTTTTTGGAGAATTTTCTTTTCAGCTGTTCCAACGGCAACCTTTGAGTGACATCTTTATACCATCAGATGTGGCGGCCGCTTAATAACAAGTTCCCACTTTGGGCTCATCAGCATACCGTCAGCCCAAGACAGGACCACATTAGTGGGATCTCATTAGTAAACAAGCCTGTGACACTGATAGAAGATAAAACAACATTTTTAAACTGATAAGGTTTTGCTTTTTTTTTTTTTTTCAGGTGTTTTTTTTTTTTTTTTTTTCTTTTTTTTTTTTTTTTTTCCTTGAGCACTTTAATCACCATCAAATGACTTTCATGACACTTCTGGGGGCATCAGTACATAATCCGGAGAAGATGAAAGAGACGTGTAAAGGAAATAATGTTAACAACACTAGCGTAGTGTTTGAAGCTATGACTTGCCATTTGTCAACATTGCTTTGCTGATCCACAGTGATAAAATAATAACCCATTGACATATGAATGCTAGCTGGAGCTGCGGGGTCTCCCAGACATTTCATTTATTTAGCTTTTATTTCCTTCGGAACGATTTGACAAGTTGCTCACAGTCATTCAACACCAGAAGCTAAAGAAGCAGCACCTTCAACCCACATCACCAGGCCAAAGTATTGATGGCTCAGGACTGAGAGTTTCTGGGAAGCCCAGGGGAGTTTTTAATCACACCCCAATGGCATCTGGGTTCTAGTCAAATATTTGTGAGTGGCCAGAGTTCAACTGTGCCATCCTTGTTACTCCATATGTAAAGCTGCCCAGGGTTCTTGTTTGGGGATTAAGCTGAGAACATCTTACTAACAGAGGTTTATCGTTCTCCTTAGGAAGTCATTTTTCGCATTTGCAATCCCATCTTCCAGTTCAGAAAGCTGGGATGCAGACAGGGGCTGCTGTTGGTTTCTGAGACCCTGAGATTTAGAGGGACCATACTTCCAAAATCCTTTGTTGGGATGAAAATATTAAGTAGCTGCCTTCTGTCAACATTTGCTTGATAACTGCTGGCCATCAATTTGTAGCCGTCAGCATAGAATACAAATGAATATTGAGTCCTTTGAAAATAAAGAGGTGCAGAAGTCTTGGATAAACAAAACATGCTTAAGAAAAAAAAATAACAACCACATAGTGATATCTGTGATGCATTTCTTAGTGCTGTGATAGACTACTCATTCTGATAAGAACATATGTTACACATTTAATTTAGTTTTCAGGTGACTCGACTTTAATATGCATGCTCATTTAAAAGAACGAATAGATTCCTATCTTAAAGTAGACATAACAATGCATTTAAAAATACATACAATATCATGGCATACCTATATTCAAAGACTTGAAAGAGCAGTAGATGTTTGAAGATTGCTTTATTTCAGACATATCCACACCAGGACATTGCACAGCAAAAGCTGAATTAATCAATTTATGCAAAAAAAAATTAGATTCAGGAAGAGGAACACGCTCTGCCTGGAGCCTCCAGGGCAGGCAAGGAAGGCAGCTCTTGAGAAGTGGGCTGTGACTGCAGAGATGGGTTGAAAGTGCTACGCTGCACTGAGGGGGTTAGGCAAAGAGGAAAGACAGGTACATCTTAAGACTATCAGAGCTTTCATTGCAACTCCTCTGGGGCCTTGTAGGCACAGAATACACTTTCCAAATGTGAAACCTGCGGCCCTATGGCTAGACCACGCTGAGGGGAATGATCAGTCACAAAGCTGTGGTAGAGACGAGTGTCTCACCACCCTTCCCCTCTCCTGTTATTGCAGTAACAATCCTGCGAGTGACTTTATAAGAATTTTACCAGAAATATGCAACATTGCATCCTGCAGTTCATCTCCAAAGGTCTTGGTGCTTGGGACATAGCTGTTCCCACCAACTATTATAATTTCAACCTCTGGTTTATAAGGCAAAAGCGAGCTGTTCCAAGGGGTGCTGTGTCCCTACTTACTATCCAAGAACAATACTGCCAATGGACAAACTGATCTTGTATTCCAGAATATTCCATCTGGAATGTTCATAAAGCAAAGCAGTTAGTACAGGAAGGAGGCCCGTGCACCTCTCTGATCAGTGACCACAATGAAAGAATGCCTCCACCTGCTACCCATAGAACCGAATTCTAGGATGCAGTGAGTCAGTGCTCATCAAAAAGCATGCAAGGCCCCACCACAATGAAGCAGGCAGTGGAAGAGAACAATCAGCTCTGGCCCTCAGTGTGTTTAGGCCCATACTATCCCGGTAGCTATGAGGACTAGCATTCATAGAGAGGTAAACTATTTGCCAGGTGCTGGCAGACAGCATCATAAGCATCACTTTCTAATCCTCCTTCTGTCCTCATGCCAGGGACAACTAGCATCCTAATTTTTTAGGCCTGTGTAGATTCAGAGATCAAATGGAACTTGTC